TACTCCCCTTGTCGGAAACTAGATCTAACGGCTCTCACACGCCCCACATTGCTCAATGCCATTGGCCATGTGTCGCGTCACTCTTCCTACCCCTCTCCCATTGGACCACGTTGCGCAATTTCCGCGGCTCACCAGTCCCTGACACCATTATTTTAATAATATAAAAAATGAAATCCCGTCCTTAAATTCCGACTCGTGTCGAGGCGGCACAAGACACTTGGCGCCTGCTCACAGCAAAACCCACCCCCAGAGAAACGACACTATTTCTCTCTCTCTCTCTTTCTCTCTCTCTCCTTCCCTTCCCCCAAATTTCGACAATTTTCCAAAATTAAATACCAAATTAAAGGTAAATATTATAAAATTACTATCTTTTTTGTACTCTAGTGTTTTTTTATTCCCCTTTTTGTTCTTCTTTGTAATTTTCGTTTTTCCAATTTTTTTTTTTAATTCCATTTTCCTTTTCCGTTTTCGCCATTTTTCTGTATTTTTCTTCTTTAATTTTTGTTTTGGGGTTCTGATTGAAAGTTTTTAGATTTAGTTACGAATTATGATTTGGAGAAATGGGTCAGTGTTTAATTCTATGGATGTGTTGGAATTTTTGCTGTTTTATGGCGACGAAGTTGTTATTATGGTATGGGAGGCAGCGTTCCGGAGCTGGAGTATTGACGCTTGTTATCCGTTCGTTAGTTTTTAGCTTTGATTGTAATTGTTTTTGTTTTCTGGATCTGAAATTCAGCAAGGTAGGTGAAAAGAACTTTGAGATTCTATCTTATCTGCATAAGGAATGCAGGACAAATTGTTTGCTTCATGTTTTGATTGAATATCTTGTACTGCCTGTTCTTTGATTCTTGAGATTTTGGTATCTAACATGAAAAATTCTTGATTTTGAATGACTCCCATAATTTTGAAGACCCATCTAGGTTTTAAATGTTTATCGTTTATCCTTCCTTTTTAGAAAACTTGGTATTGGGTTTGGACTTTGGTGGTTGTTCCTATAACTGTTGAGGTTTTATTTCTTGTTTGTCAGTTGATTAGAGATTTATTATTTAAGTGAGTTTTAGTATTATATAAGTTTGTCCATAATTGGAAAGCAGAAAGAATGTTGTGTATGGTATATGATTTACTCACTTTATTTGTTTAGTGGCTTTCAATTAGATTTTAAGTTAAAGAAAATAGAAGGTAAGTGACATGCTCATCTGATCTACCTTAATTGGATGGCTACATAGGACATCTTTGATTTGGATCAACCTTTGTGCTACTTGATACGATAAATTGGATCACAAATGAATTTCAAGGGCTTTGGTGACACACCAAGTATGGATGGAAGCGGCTTGAAGCCACTGGGGAATTTCCCATTAGCTAGGCAGTCATCAATATATTCAATGACCTTTGATGAGTTGCAAAACATGGGTGGACTTGGGAAGGATTTTGGGTCAATGAACATGGATGAACTCCTGAAGAATATATGGACTGCTGAAGAGACTCAGGGCATGATGACAGTTTCAGCAGCTGCAGGAGAAGGAGGTGGTCCCAGTGGGAATTTGCAGAGGCAAGGGTCATTAACATTGCCGCGAACCCTGAGTCAGAAAACTGTGGATGAAGTTTGGAGAGACTTGATGAAAGGAAGTGGTGGTGTCAAAGATGGAAGTAGTGGTGGTGTAGGACCAAATTTTCCACAGAGGCAACAAACCTTGGGAGAGATAACTTTGGAGGAGTTCCTGGCGAGGGCAGGTGTTGTAAGAGAAGATTCTCAACAACAGATTGGAATACCAACTAATAGTGGATTCTTTGGTGAATTATCGCAGCAAAGTAATCACACTGGTCTAGCTCTTGGGTTTCAACAAACAAATCAGAACAATGGCTTGTTGGGTAGCAATAATTCAGTCATTAATCAGCCACCTAGCTTAGCACTGAATATGGGTGATGTCAAATCCATCCACCACCAGCAACCACCACAACAGCAGCAGCCACAGCTGCCCTTCCCCAAACAAGCAAATGTGGCGTTTGCCCCTCCCATGCACTTAGTAAACACCACTCAACTTGCAAGTCCAGGAGCAAAGGGTTCGATGGTTGGGATTGGAGACCCACCAATGAACAATAAATTTGTTCAGTCTAATGGCCTGCAGACTGGAGGGACGGGCATTGTGGGGATGGGATCTCCTGCAAGCAAGATATCCCCTGATGTCATTGCAAAGAGTAACATGGATACCTCTTCTTTATCCCCCGTTCCTTGCATGTTTGGCCGGGGAAGAAAATGCAGTGCTGCTGTGGAGAAAGTAGTTGAAAGGAGGCAGAGAAGAATGATTAAAAACAGAGAGTCTGCTGCAAGGTCGCGAGCTCGTAAGCAGGTGAGTACAGTGTTTGACCCACTGCACATTGTTTTCTAACTATTAGATATTATTCCTTCTGTTTTTCAATTTGTTTTATGAGATTGACCTCATATGTAAAGCAATAACATAGATCCATGCTCATGTCTGCAGTTGCATCATGCCATGAAATTTTTCCTTTCCAATTTATTCTTTTTTCTCTCTTTTTTTTTTATTTTTTTTATTTTTATTATTTGGGACTGAAACAGCTGATTAATAAGGTTTAGGAGTATGGAATTGCTTTATTCTATGAGGTTGATTTTCTACTACAGAAACAAAATAGTTCATTGAAACAAGATGCGAGGCTGAGGATACTATTGTTTGCACTTTGCTACATCATCCTTTTGGTAGAAGGAACCATAACTATCTCATATATTCTAAATTGTCCAAGTAATGTGTTTGGAAAGTTGTATCAAAAATGAGTTTAGGAAGTTTATGCAGCTCTTGGTTAAAAGAAATTTCAAATAGAGGACTGGAAGAAATTATGGCCTTTACTTATTATGGTTTCCTGGTTTTGTAGTCTGAATGAACATAACAGCACAAGTTTGTTGCTAGAAGCCATAGTAATTACTCATCCTTAGATTACATGTTAGGTTTTGTGCAATTGCAAGATTTCCCAGTACGTGTCTATTTCAGGGCAAAACATGACCATTTTCATATTCCTGCTGTGTGAAGGAACTAGAGCAGGCAAACAATGTGATGCTGGAGCACATAGTGAAAAATTTATGGCCCTGGATGTCATAATTTACTAACTTTAGTACCAACTTGTTTGCCCTCAGAAGTAACCTTAATAAAGTGGTTTACTCAATAAAATTTTGCCGAAGTATTAGAGAAATATGCTTGAATGTTAGACTTTTGTCAACCTGTTTGGGCCTTTGGTTTATTTGTTTTGTCCCATGTTCTGAGGAACACCTGTGCAGAAAACACATTACACTTTGAGACATAAATCATGTGCAAAATATGAAAATCAAACATTTTAATATCTATTGGTTGGTCTGTAAGAAAACACTGAATCATCTGAATTTAGTATTTTTTTTTTTTTTTTTTTTTTTTTTTTTTTTTAAAGGGTAATTGCGCTGATAATTTTAGTGTATGTTCTTAGGGGAAGGGGAATTGTTAACCCTGGATTCGAACGTTTAGCCT